TCTGTCTGTCTGTCTGTCTGTCTGTCTGTCTGTCTGTCTGTCTGTCTGTCTGTCTGTCTGTCTGTCTGTCTGTCTGTCTGTCTGTCTGTGCCCCCTTTTTCGGGTGCTGTGTTAGGATAAGACCACGTTAAGGACGGACGACACGACAACTGAAATCGTCCGTGTTGTCCGAGGTTAAAAATCGGCCACGTTAACAACGGACAATTTCCACGACATTCTATCTTCAGACATGGCGTGAACCAGGAGGAAGAAGTTGTTTTTGTTATAGTTGAGGAGGAGACAGAAGAGACAACGACAACGTGCTAAAATATGGCATTCACTAGTGGTTAGGCTACCGGACTCGTAATCGTGAGTTGCGGGGTTGGGGGAAAGAGCCGCGGGCCCGACGTTGTGTTCTTGGGAAAGGCACTTTACCCGAATTTTCCCCACTTCACCTCAGGTGGAAATGGGTACCCGGCCATAGACAGCGAAAGATCTTGCCAGTATGTTAGTGTTTTAGCGCCTATAAATGGCTGCTTGCACTGTATGCTTCCCAGGAAGTTGAGTTTGTTTCAGAATGCTCTCAGGTCTGCTGGGGTAATAGTATAGATTGTGAAGCGCATAGAGCTTGCAGTTGAGCGGGGATTTGCGCTATACAAATGCTATATATTTTTATATTATTATTTTAAATATTGAGACAGCGTGAGACTATCGGTGAATTTCATCTTTATACCAGCAATTGTTGGAAAACGATGAAAAATTCTTCAGCTATTTTCGAATGAAACCCAGCAAGACATGTACAATTGTATACCTTTTAGTGACATTGCAACATAGCTATTTATAGACAACTTTTTTTTTTTTTGGGGGGGGGGGGGGGGAAATTCTGAAGGAGTTGATGAGATTATTTCCCCTGAAACAGACAGACAAAAAATTTGACAAAACTTCTTGGAATCGTGTCGTCTGTGACTTGGAAAATCGTGTCGGTGTCAATGTGGCATGGCAAAACGATTTTGTTATATTTCACTCCCTTCTTTGTTTTGCTTTATCAACAAACTACAAATCGTTGTCCGTTTTGTCGTGTCGTGTCTTCCGTCCTTAACGTGGTCTTACTCTTAGTGATCTTATTCGTATCAGACAATCTTGGACAACGAACATGACTGAATAGGTACAATGACTCTCTGATTCTCTCCTTATCTCTTTCTTTTTCTCTCCCCTTATCCATTTTATTCTTTTTAACAGTTCACCAGCCACTGACTATCTCGTCCGTTTTCAGATGCTTCGTCTGCTCCTGGCTCTGCAGGTTTTCGTGACCTTGACCTCCACCGAGTTGACCTTGAGTGAGGAGGCATCCAGCACCTTCCTGCGAGAGCACAACCGGCTCCGAGCAGACGCTGGTAGGTCAACAGAACTTTTAAAAGTTAAAAACATCAGTTAAACAGTAGAACCACAAACACATACATCACTTTACAAGACAAACGAACACCTTACACTCAAATACACACACACACACACACACACACACACACACACACACACACACACTCACACATACTCACACACACACACACACACATGCATATACGCACATATATACACATACCCCCCCCCATAAACACACACAAACCCAAACACATGCACCGGCAGATAAACACAGCTTACTAAGATGAAATAACCCTCTCTTCTGCCTCTTTCTCCCTTCACATCTCTCACTCATTTTTCCCGCTTTTTCTCCTCCCTCCTCCATTTATTCTCACCCCCTCCCCTAACCACACAGGCCCCGTATGTAAAGACAGAACCAACTACTGCCCATGGTGGGCTAACCGGGGCGAATGTGGGCGTAACCCTCTCTGGATGCTGCCCAACTGTCCCCGCAGCTGTCACCAGTGTTCACCAACAGGTGCGTTTGTTTGTTTGTTTGTTTGTTTGTTTGTTTGTTTGTTTGTTTGTTTTTATCAGTCTGTCTTTTTATTTATTTGTCTGTCTGTCTGTCTTTCTGTTTGTTTGTCTATTTATTTGTCTGTCTGTCTATCTGTATGTCTGTCTATTTTACCGTTTGTTTGTCTGTCCGTTTTTGTGTGTGTGTGTGTTTGTTTGTATGTCTGCTAGGCATACAAGGGAGTGAGGGGAGTGGGATGAGGGGGGGGGGGGCATGGTCACCTGGTGTAATGTAACTTATGTCTGTATTATTATGATGGACAGTGGTATAACATGGTGTTTTTGTGAACAGTAATTGTAGAGTATGATGGTATATTATTACGTTTGAATGATGAAATCGATACAATAATAATTTTTAGTGCAAGGAGAAAGCAAAACTGAAACTAAAGCAGAAGGAGAATTCGATTTTCTATTTTTACCAAAGGCAGTCTCTTTTTTAAATATATCTTTTTTACCCATCTACTCTCTTTTCTCCCCCCACCCTTTTTCACTTTTCTGCTTTTCGATCTCTATTTTCTCCCCTCTCTTTTCTCCCGCTCTCTTTCCTTTACCAAAAGCAGCTATCCCTTGTCATAATATCACCGTTTTATCGGCATGTTTGTAAATACTTTTGTTTTATCCTCCTTCCCCAAACCCTTCACCCCCTCCCTCCTCTGACCACCCCTCTCAAACCTCCAACCGCCCTCATCACAATCACCTCCCCCCTCGCCCCTCCCGTCTCCTTAACATCCATCACTCAAACTCCATTCCATCTGCTCTCATCTCAACCCCCCC